TGAACTGGGGCTGGGATCCTACACCCCACCAGGATTGGTCCAGAACTTACTGGAATTTATGCATGTTGACCTGGGCCTACCTTGGTGGGGGGCCATTGCTGCATGTAAGGGGAACAAACCCTGGACAACAGTAGAGGAAATGGGGACTTAGGGATAGAACCTAAAAAATGGCAGGTCTGAGAATGGACTCAGTAAATGGTTGTAGAAGTTTAGGGGTCCGAAAAGCAGATGATTCAAATGAGGGCTAGATACTCATGACAGAAAGCTAAGTGCACTCTACTTATATTTCCCAAAGAACATTATAAAACCACTAGATCACATAGGATTCAAGAAGTATATTCATTTGAATGTGAACATGGGTCTTGAAATAAGGGAATCTTATTACCAATGGTGAAGCAGCCCTGGTTTAGGAAAGCAGGTCAGATTAATTAGGCACTTAAACCCCTAAATTGAGAAACCACTCACATTAATCTTGTAAATGCTAAAACTATGCTTTGAATTCCATTTCTTCCTACATCCTGTTCCATCAATTATCTCTTCCCTCCTTTGTCTTCGATATCTTGCTCCTTGAATGTATAAACATGCTCAAACATACCCACATATTACTTGGGAGAAAATTTTTTTCTTTCATCTTAAGTTCCCTTTTACCTACTACCCTATCTTTTGTCTTCTTTGGATGGCAGTGTCCTGCATTCAGTGAGCCTACTTCTTTCCATTTATTCTTTGACATTCAACAGTCTAGCTTTTCCTAATATCACCTCATTCTAAATGCCACTGACATCATTGCTAAATCCACTTTTCTTATCATACTTGACTTTTCTGCATTAGACACTCTAGACCTTGAAATCCATCTCTTGGCTTTTATGACGGTCTTACCTGATTTTCTTCCAGTCTTTCTGACTACCCCTTCCCATCTCCATTACCTAATACTCTACCTACCCCTTCAGTGCTACATTCTGGATTTCATCCTTAGCTCCCCTCTCTTTCCATTCCACGTCATCCATCATAATGTTTAGTTGCCCAGCTAATTTTTTTTTCTGTGTTCTTTTTTTTTTTAGTAGAGATGGGGTTTCACTCTTGCTCAGGCTGGTCTCGAACTCCTGATGTCAAGTGATCCTCCCGCCTTGGCCTCCCAGAGTACTAAGATTACAGGCGTGCACCAGTGCACCCGACTGATTTATTGTTTTGTTTTGTTTTTTTCTTGAGACAGAGTCTCACTCTCTTGCCCAGGCTAGAGTGCTGTGGCGTCAGCCTAGCTCATAGCAACCTCAAACTCCTGAGCTCAAACAGTCCTTCTGACTCAGCCTCCTGAGAAGCTGGGACTACAGGCATGCGCCACCATGCCCAGCTAATTTCTTCTATATATATATTTTTTAGTTAGCCAATTAATTTCTTTCTATTTATAGTAGAGACAGGGTCTCGCTCTTGCTCAGGCTGGTTTTGAACTCCTGACCTTGAGAGATCCTCCCGCCTTGGCCTCCCAGAGTGCTAGGATTATAGGCATGAGCCACCGCACCTGGCCTGATTTATTGTTTTTGATCATAGAAAAGTTTAGAAGCCATTGATCTGAAAAGTGCTCTTATCACCCTTTTTTTCAAGGAAACAAAGAGGATTCCTGATCATCTGCTTAGAGAAGTTAATGTTAGGCTTTTGTGATACCAGAGCAGAGAACTGGGCCTTGAAAGAACTAAGTTATACCTTGACCTTACCTCAGGGTCTCTTGAGCATGAGTCATAATGTGCAAAAGGCTGAAATAAGAGAGACCCTTTCAGTAAGACCCTTTCAGTAAAGCCTTCAACCTTCTACCTTCTAGCTGCAGAACTGCTTTAGTTTCACTCCAATCCTAGTTTTTGTTTTTCAGGTACAGTCTTTGCCCGCTGCCTAGTTTTTCCTCTCATTGTGAAAGGCCAGCGAGAGGCAGCCAAGATCCACAACCACTTGCCAGAGATCCAGAAGTTTTCCACTCGAATCAGAGAGGCCAAGTTGGCAGGAGACCATGTTGAGTGTGAGTCAATTGCAGGATGAGCATGGGAGAGGATCACATTTGCACTTTTCCTGACATTGTGGTGAGGGAAGGAACAACCTAAATCAGGAGTTGCTGCAGTTGGGCAAGCTTTAAAGATTTACATTATATGCTTCTTGGGCCTAATGCTTCCAGGGATTGGCCAGGGTCAATTAGAAATGTCATGGGCCAGGTGGTGAGGATGGGTGTGTGACATAACTTGTAGCCCAACCATTAATTTCCCCTTACCCCACAGTTTACAAGGCCTCCTCGGAGATGACAGTTTACCAGAAAAAGCATGGTATCAAACTCTTTAAACCTCTCATTCTACCTCTGACTCAGGTGAGCAAAAACATTTCCCTTCATATTTCATCCTGAACCCATTAAATTTCTTCCTCTATGTTTCCTGTGGCCTAGACCCCCCAAAAAAACAATTAGTGGTGGTATTTATTATACATGGCTGTTAATAATGGGGTTATGAAAATGTCCCTCTGGTAAAGCATGCTGACAGTGTTTATCCTATGTAATAGGCCCCAATCTTCATCTCCTTCTTCGTTGCCTTGAGAGAGATGGCCAACCTTCCTGTGCCCAGCCTACAGACAGGTGGTCTCTGGTGGTTCCAGGATCTCACAGTATCTGATCCCACCTACATGTTACCCCTGGTAGTCACTGCTACAATGTGGGGTGTCCTTGAGGTAAGCCCAGGTTGGCCAAGTGCCAGGCCTGTAAAGTGAACTGGGAGTGGAGGGTAAAGTAGTTGTGCAGAATCATCATCCTTTACTCCTTCAAGAAAGAGAGTTGTTGGATAAGAGATTAGAGACAGAGTCACTAACATTGACGTGTTTTCACTACTTTTTTCCTGTGTCCACCACTTACCCCATTTTTGGCAGCTAGGTGCTGAGACAGGTGTGCAAAGTTCTGACCTTCGGTGGATGAGAAATGTGATCAGAGTGATGCCTCTGGTAGTCTTGCCCATAACCATCCATTTTCCCTCGGTAGGTAATGACTTAAGGCCTGGTTCCAAGGCCTTCCACCTACTAGCCAGCTGACCAGGGATGCAGCTTCTGAATATCCTCTCTGTGTTCTCATCCAGGCAGTGTTTGTGTATTGGCTCTCCTCCAATATGTTTTCCCTGTGCCAAGTGGCCTGTCTGCGGATACCAGCTGTACGCACCATACTGAAAATTTCCCCACGTGTTGTACATGATCCTGACAAATTAGTTCCACAGGAAGGCTTCATAAAGAGCTTCAAAAGAGGTAAGGGTTCAGCCTCATCCTCTGAAACGGGACTGGGGAAGGTATCTAAAAATAAGGATGATGACTGGGCAAGGTGGCTCATGCCTCTAATCTTAGAACTCTGGGAAGCCAAGGTGGGAGGACTGCTTGAGCTCAGGAGTTCAAGACCCCATGTCTACTAAAAATAGAAAAATATTAGCCAGGTGTTGTGGAACATGCCTATAGTCCTAGATACTCAGGAGGATCACTTGAGCCCAGGAGTTTGCAGTTGCTGTGAGCTGTGATGAGGCCACTGCACTCTAGCCCAGGTGACAGAGCAAGACCCTGTCTCAAAAAATTAAAAAGTAGGCCGGGCGTGGTGGCTCACGCCTGTAATCCTAGCACTCTGGGAGGCCGAGGTGGGCAGATTGCTCAAGGTCAGGTGTTCGAAACCAGCCTGAGCAAGAGTGAGACCCCGTCTCTACTATAAATAGAAATGAATTAATTGGCCAACTAATATATATAGAAAAAATTAGCCGGGCATGGTGGCACATGCCTGTAGTTCCAGCTACTCAGGAGGCTGAGGCAGTAGGATTGCTTGAGCCCAGGAGTTTGAGGTTGCTGTGAGCTAGGCTGACACCACGGCACTCAGTCCACCCTGGGCATCAAAGTGAGACTCTGTCTCCAAAAAAAAAGAAAAAAAAAATTAGAAAGTAAAAATAAGGATGGGACCAACAACTATCTTGCTCTTCTTTACACAGGCTGGAAGAATGCTGAAATGACACATAAGCTACGAGAGCGTGAGCAACGCATGCAAAATCACTTGGCACTTGCAGCCAGAGGTAAATAATCCTTTTAGGCTGAATTCTGTTTTTTCTTTCTTCCTTTGTTTATTTAGAAGTTTTCTCTTCTTCCATCAGGTCCCTTACGACAGACCTTTGCTCACAACCCTCTACTACAGCATGGAAAGAATCACCCTCCCGACACCCCTAACAAGAACAGTGAGAAACCAAAGTCAAAGCAGCCCTGGCGTGACACGCTTGGCTGATTTATATTTCCTGTTCCTTATGGCAAGAAGTCTGTCTCTTCAAAGACTCATCCTCAAAACAAGGCTTGACACTATGGAACTGTGGCACAGAGATGTTCCTGTTAAGAATGGAGTCCACAGTCTTAAATCCACATGTATAAAAGAGCACTGGGGAGCCAAGTCATCTTCCCATGCACAGAGTTAGTAAACCTGTGTACACATGCTAATTCCTGATACTTATTAAACAGGGAAGTGGGTGTGTGCTTCATAAAACTGAAGAATAGAGTGTGTCATGATTGCTCTTGCTGGACCGTGGTCTTGGGAAGTATCTCACTGTTTTAACCTGGCATTAAGAGCCTAAACCTCCAACACATACATGAGTTGTTCCATCCACATTTACTTTGCAGTCATAGAAGTATAACTGAGAAGTTGAGATTGTATCTAAATACAGTAACCACTTTTCTTTATCCTAAGATTACCTATAAAATGTCCTTCAACAAGTAAATGTACTCAAATTCTTAGTGATGCTTAAGAATGAAAATTCATGCCATTTTTACGTAGCAGCCAAACATTTTACTGCAGCACATTTGGTACTCTCTTATCTACCGTCGTGTAGAAATTGGTTTTATCAGCAGCTAGCTTTAGAGGGAAGAAATACTCATATTCTTTGAAGTGTAAGATTACCTTTAGTCTTTCTGGATGTTTTTAAGGTAATGGAAACTCTCAGATACACTGTATAAAATTAAGCCATTCGAACTTGAGCAACATAACCTTTTTATTGTTGTCCAGCACCTGTGACAGTTTTATGGCTCTCAAAGGAGAGGAGAAGTTTGGAACATTGTGGGCCTTTCAAAGGAAAAGAGTGGGTAGGCAAACCCAGAGATGCTATTAAGAACAAGCCCACACTTGACATGCTCCCACCACAGTCTGCTTTATCATTCCTTTTAAAAAGTCTGGAATAATATGTAGCAAAAAAAATAAATTACTTTTCATCTCTCAAAAAGTAAGTTCAAAGATTGAAGCTGCCTAGACCGGGCTTCTGGCCGAGTGCCTCCAAAGAAGTGAGCTTTCCTTTTCAACTTCCTTAGCGCCAACCAGTAGGAGACAAGAAGCCCCTACTTTCCACATCTCAGGATTCCAGATGGTATTTAGTTTGACTTGGGATCTCGTTGCTTAGGCATTTCTCCTTCACCATCCAAATCCATTTCTGCAGCAACTGACATACATAGGACCTGGAGGTACTGTGTGGTGGATGCTACAAAGAAAATTTTGACTTGAAACTGGGAAGGGCTCAAGAAGGCTGAGTTTTAAGTAGCACTGAATGAGACTGGGTCTGAGGGGAGTGGTTCAGTTAAGCTGAAGGGTTAATAACAGGAAGGGCAAAGGTGTTTTGGGAGCATAGATTTGCAGAAAAGGCAGAAACCAAGCCATATAACAGCTGAGCTGACTTAAGGACTCAAGGCTTACCCACAATCCTTCGGAGGCAAAGAGGCCGTCTGTGTTCTGGCACTCTGATGATGAGGAAGTAAAAGGGCAAGCCTGAGAGGGCAATGGCAATGCCGATGAGGGAGTTGATGGTATCACTGTAAAGTGGAACAGCCACCAGGAAGATGGTGCAGAGGCAGAAGACAATGGGGAAGAAAAGGCTAAGCTAAGGACACAAGAGGAGATACAACTGGGGGTTAGCTCAGGATTCTTAACAGCTAAAATAACTCCACCTCCCATAAAGACCAGAGCCCTGAGCCTTCTTGCCATCCCTTTAATCCCAACATTGCCACCACCAAGTGCTAGGCAAAGGTTTCTGAATCAACTGCCTTGTAAATATCCCCTGTAGCAGCAGCTCTAGCTGTTCTAGATGGGGCAGAGGTAGGATGAAAGTGCATTACCTTGAGGGGACGAGGTCGATCTGGCTCCTTCCAGCGTAGATAAAGCTGACCCACAATAGAGAGCCCCACAAAGAACCAGTAGCTGAAGCTGTAGTAGTTAATGAGCTGGAAGATGTCCTCCACACACAAGTAGATCAGTGCCATGATACCCTGTAAGTGTGAGCCCAAGTCAGTTCCTCTCATACATAGCCTTTGTTACTCAAAGTGCTTTTCACTCCCTTTATCCCCAACAAATCCATCTCCTGTCAAGTCTTCAGTCTCCTGGTCCTCTTCTGTCCCACTCCCTTTAGCATCCCAGTTTCAGTACCTCATTCCTTCTCTACTAGAAGTCAATAAATAGCCTTTCAACTGGTTTTCAGCCCATTCTTCAAGTTAATCTTTTATAAAGCACAACTCAAAACAATCCCTCAAAAGTCTTACGTAAGATCCTTCCCATAATAGCTCCAACCTACATTTCCAGCTCTTAACTCCTACTACAGGTTGAATATCCCTAATGTGAAAATCCAAAATGCTCCCATGAGCATTTCCTTTGTGTCAGGTCAGCACTCAAGAGTTTCAGATTTGGGATTAGGGATAATCAACTTGTACTCAACCCCACACTGCTTTACCATGGGTCTTTCTGATGCTAAACCCCATCTCTACCATTTGGAATCCTAACCTTCAAAATACACTATTCATCCAAGAAATATTTCTTCATTCACCCTCTACCTATGGAAGTGATCGTCTCTTCTCTTAAATATTTTATTATTCACTATTTGTCATGGCAATCAATTGTCACAATGTAATCCACATACTTTATGCCTTATCTTAGACTACAGGTGGCTATATTCCTCACAGCAGTTAGATTCTGTAGCAGTCAGCAGGGCCTTGCCCACGGTGGGTGTTCTGTTCCACCAACAGTTTTTCTATCAGATTTCCTTTAGAGCTTTCAGAGAGCCAGAACATTTACTTTACTGTTACTAAAGTTTCCCCATAATCTGGCTTTTAGTCTTATCCTTAAGATCACTTACATTGAAGAGCAGAGAAGGCACTGGTGTGAATCGCTCAACATGGATCATGCAGATGGCATCAGGGAGATGGCCTTCTCTTGAGCCCACAAAGAAAAGCCTGTGGTGGGTAAGATATGAGAGGCTGAGAAAATTGTGGGACACAGTGCAGCCTGGTTCACCTGCCACATAGCCTTCCCTCTCTGCCATCCCTTCCTTCAAAAGAATTTGAATAATATGGAATGGAGTTCAGCATTGAGATTAGTGAGAACTAAAGGGTGCTAATCAGAACAAGAAAGAGGTGGTATCATTTGGAGAACACAATGATTAAATAAAGCCCATGGGTCCTGTAAATTCTACCATCCCTGCCCCAGCAAAAGATACTACTCTTACCTAGAAGCAGCCACAATGGAGGCATTGAGGCCACCAAAGCAGGAAAATGCAACTGCGAGTGGAATTACCCAGTTGAATACTCCAAAAATCTGGTCTGCAAAAGTCTAAGGGAAAGGAATAGAAGAGTCATTAGCAGGACCTAAAAGGGATGACAGGTATGGACAGGCATGCTCCCAGATTCCCCCTACTGGAAATCCAACCCGTCTTCTACAGTGGGGATAACAGGAACTTCTTTTGCAAGCTTTGTATCCTAATCGAACTCCCTTTAAGGCTGTCTACTCCGTTTCCAAGACTTTCCAGAGTTGGGATATATCCAGTAGCCCACAACACACCCTCAACCTTCTCCTGCTAGGGAAAATCCTTTACCACAGCAACAGCATCACTGGCCAAGATGTCCCTCATGTCTAGCACCGTGTAATAGGCCACATTGGTCAAGATGTAGATGATAGTGACAATGGGCATGGAAATGCCAATGGAGAGGGGCAGGTTCCTACAGCCAAGCAAAATAAAGGACACATTAGTTCCACAGTCACATCCTTATCTCTCCTTTAGTCCTTGGACTCTCCGTGCCACACCAGTCTTTCCAGGGTTGAAGACTCCTGCTGCATTTCCTCAGTGCATTTGTCTTTGAGGTTGCCTAGGATATTGGCTGAAGCTCTGAACTCTTAAGAACTAAAGAACATAGGGGAAGGGCATATCAAATTAGTGGGAAAGGCTGCCCAAAAACAGAAGAAGAAGAAGAAAAAGGATTAACAAAGAACTATGTCATAGCATAATATCAGCACAGGAAGATGGAGGGTTATTTTGGTTTTTACACCCAAAGGTCTCCTGGTGTTAGGATTCCATCTCTACGATAATCAACATTGGAAATTTTGTCTCAAGGGTGAGAAATAGAAAAAATTGTGGAGACAAATGGTGAAATCTAACATCTCCAGAGGATAAGACAGATCTTCAGTACAAACAGCAGTGTGTGTATCTGAACAAGCAACTGGGGAGACATGTCCACCCACCCCGCCCCTCAGTTTGAGAACCTTGAGAGCACCCTAGCTAGTGGCCAAAAGAAAGATGCAAAGACCACTCCAGGTCCCTGTAGCCCAATAAAGCCATGATCTTTATAAATATCCTTGACAGTAAGATTGTCAAAAAGGAGAGGAGAGGGGCAAATACTCTTGCGTCACTCGGCTTCTGTCCAGCAGGTGGAAGCACCACCCAGGCCTTGGTCCTGCTTTTATAATCGCTGCTCCCATAGCTGCGACACTCTAGTGTATACCAAGAATGCTCTCTGTTTCTCGAGCTGTTTACACTGATAAGAGAATTGTTATTCTTTTGACTTGAAAATTTACAGAAACTCCACTCCCTGGCAAATCTTACTTCCCAGAATCATAGAATTTTAAAGCCAGGAAAGGCCCTGGAGACCATATAATTCAACTCCCTCAATTACAGTTGAGGAAACAAGCAAAGAGATGGTGCGGCAATTCCTTCAAGGCTACTCAACAAATCATTGGAAGGACAAACTCCAGTCCTTTGACTCCCTGCCCAGTGCTCTTTTCACTCTACCTGACTACAGGGTAAAATCTTTTTTTTTCCCCAGCCTCTTCCCTCCCCCCTCCTTAAATCTATTCTAAAAGTAAATAATAAGGCCAGGCGGCAGTGCTGCAATGCCTGTAAATCCTAGCACTCTGGAGGCCGGAGGTTGGGCCGATTGGCTTGAGGTCCAGGAGTTCGAAACGCAGCCTGAATGAGATCCCGTCTCTGCAAAAATAGAAAGGATTAATTGTGGATGAACCTAAAAAATATATATTATACAAAAACTTAGCGCGGCGATCGGTGGTGCAGCTTGTGTCGCCAGCTACATTGGGGAGGCTGAGGGCCAGGTAGATCACTGAGGCGCAGTGATTGAGGGTTGCTATGAGGCTAGCGCTGGATTGGCCCACAGCACCTCACTCTAGGCCTGGGCAGAGAAAGGTTGGAAGACTCTGTCCTCAAAAAAAAAAAAAAAGTAAATAATATAACCTGCTTTCATTAATGTAGGAATGAATGAACAAATGGTGAAAGGGGCCTTTCTTAAAAAAATTTTTACAGCCGGGCCGGCGGTGGCTCACGCCCTGTAGTCCTAGCTCTCCTGGGAGGCCGAGGCGAGGGGGGATTGGCTCGAGTTCAGGGAGTTCGAAACACACCTGAAGCTGAAGAAGCTGACCCCGTGCTCTCACTATATAATGGAAAAGAATATTAATGGGGCCAACTAAAATAATATACTACAAAAATTAAGCCCGGGCATGGGTGGTGCATTGCCTGTAAGTCCCGGAGCTACTCGGGAGGGCTGAGGCAGGGAGGATTTGCTTGAGGTCCCAAGAGTTTGAGGTTGCTGTGAGGCTAGGCTGACGCCACGGAACTCACTCTAGCCTCGGGCAACAAAAGCGAGACTCTGTCTCAAAAAAAAAAAAAAAAAAAAAATTTTTACAAAGCATACATGAGAAAGTTCACATTTTAGCTCTGTGACTGTGATATCACAGACAAGCTAGTTCTCTGGGCTTAAAGCTTCCCATCTATTAAAATGGGGCTGATAGAATCAGCCTCTTAGGTAGTTGTCTGGCACATAGTAGGAGCTCATTAAATGATGGCTATCATTGCTATGGAAAGTTGATGGTGAGGTACCTACCTTTCAGGATTCTTGATCTCTTCAGTGACGTAGTTGAGAGTGTCCCAGCCCGAGTAGGAGAACAGAGCCGAGTACAGTGCCAGGGCAATGTCACCCATTGCAAATGATGAATCCTTAAAGGAATCCTCAAAATGAGTTGAAGCTCCTGGAACCCGAGAACATTGGAAGGCAGAGGATTAGCAGCCCATTCCCCCAACTTCAAGATGATTGAGTAAAGGAGTAGAAGAAAATGGGAATTACAGCAGGTAAGTGGCTTAGAACACTCTTGGCAGCAAGGATACCAGTGAAGAAATGGAGAACAGAAGAGAGACATCTACTGAGATGGTCTAGAATGCAGGGAATGGCATGGATGGGGATCTCAACAGGAAGAACCGGCATGGCTTTCTGGGATAAGAAACCACCATGGAGCAGAAGGGCTAGAGAACGGCAGTGATGCAGCTCTGTTCTGCCCTGCAGGCTTCCCAACTCCTGCCCCCTTTCTAACGCCAGACAGAGCCAGTACAGCATAGGAGGGCAGAGCTCAGTATACCCAGGTCAACAGAGTAGTTGTAGGGTAGGTATTTGAATCTGGAAACTGGAAAGAAGTGGGTACAAGAAGTTCATTTATGACTTTTTCCAAGGGCAGAACAATCAGAGCCATAGCATTGGGCTCAACAATCTGCAAAGCCAACTGCCAGGGCATGGCTGTCAGCCCTTTTGCCAAGATCAGCCTTCGCTGGGAGGCAGCATGCATAGAAGTTAAAGGACAGACTTTGGGGTCAGTTTGCCTAGGTACAAATTTTAGTTCCTCTACTTAAACACTAGGGACTTGGGAAAGATACTTAATTCTGTAGTCTGTTTGCTCATCTATAAAATGGGAATAATAATAGTGCCTACCAAATAAGGTTATTTTTGAGAAATAAGACAATGCACAAAGAGCACTTAGAGGAGTATGCCTCAAAGAAAATGCTTAATACATGTTAGTTGCTATTAATATTATTTCTTACCCTGGCCAAGTCTAACAATGCCTGCAATGATGACCGCAATCAGTGCCAATACTTTAGCATAGGTGAAAATATCTTGTACCATGGTTCCCCACTTGACATAGGCACAGTTAATGAAGGTTAAGAGACCTGAAAGAAAAATAATACTGATTGGTGACTGACCCTTAGACTCCAAGCAGTTTTTCCAGTACTAGTCACCAAAATAGACCCTTTAGCCAAAGACAGACCATCTGACCTGCTTTGCATTGGAAACCTCTGCCCCAGAATGTCCTTCCCATTAGCATTCAAAGGCACTGTGTACATAGCACCACCACACTCCCTACCTGTAGCACCTTACTGGGGAGACACAAAACTAAGTGACTGGGGATTTATTTACATACAAAAGTACACCCAAATTCCCAGTCACAGCAGTGGGAAGCAACTGGTAGCTGTACAGGATTAGTGATGTGTTGCAGCTCTTGCCTCTGAAAAACCAGTCTCTCCCTCCTACCTTCCCATTCCACATGGGCTCAGGACACAACACTCTGATTCTGGGGTATTATTGTTAACCTTGATGAGTCTTATTGTGACTTATCCAATGTCTGGGCCAGCGAGTCAGGATGTGTGGCCAAAGATTAGAATGGGGGCCAGACTTCCTGCCCACTGCCTGGCAGCTCAGCTGCTTGTTTTTGTGCTTGGAAGGATTCTTGTAGCTAAGAGCGGCTCCTGTAGAATGGCAACAGGGCATTTTTCCTGACTGGACAATGAATGTATTAATAGAAGAGCCATAAACATTCCTCAAGTCCTTCTACCCAGGGGTAGAGGCAATCCTTTTACCTGGATGAGCTTAAGTTCATGAATCTTCATTACAGCCAGGGTTCTTAACTAGAGCCTCCACAAAGCCTGAAATTCTTTTGCAAAGTGTTTGTATGAGTACGTATATGCATCTCTCTCCCTCCCTCTTTCTCCCTCCTCCCCTTCCCCTCTCCCTCTCCCTCACTCTCTCTCTCTCCCTTTTTTTGAAGAGACAGGATCTCCCTCTGTCGCCTAGGCTGGAGTTCAGTGGCCCAACATAGCCCATGGTAGTCTCAAACTCCTGGCCTCAAGAGATCCTCCTAACTCAGCCTTCCAAAGTGCTGGGACTATAGGCGTGAGCCACTATATCTGGCCTCATATGCATTTTTCTAAGAGTTCATGCCTTTTCAGGGCCGGGCACGGTGGCTCACGCCTGTAACCCTAGCCACTCTGGAAGGCGGAGGTGGGGTAGAGGTTGCTCGAGGTCAGAGGTTCAAAACCAGCGCCGAGCAAGAGGCAAGACCCCATCTCTAGTATAATAGAAAGAAATTAAATTGGCCAACTATATATATAGAAAAAATTAGCCGGGCATGGTGGCACATGCCTGTAGTCCTGGCTACTTGGGAGGCTGAGGCAGAAGGATTACTTGAGCCCAGGAGTTTGAGGTTGCTGTGAGCTAGGCTGACGCCATGGCACTCACCCTAGCCTGGGCAACAAAGCGAGACTTTGTCTCAAAAAAAAAAAAAAAGAAAGAAAAAGAAATGACAGGAGAGGTACTGATATGCATTTATAAACCATGAGCAGCCTGATGAAGAAAAAAAAAAAAAAGAGTTCATGCCTTTTCTTAGAAAATGATCATAGTTCTTTCATCAGAATCTCAAAGAAATCTAGCCTGAGCAACATAGCAAGACTCCACTTCTACAAAAAATAAAAAAATTAGCTGGGCATGGTGTTGCATGCCTGCAATCCCAGCTACTCGGGAGGCTGAGGCAGGAGGATCACTCGAGCCCAGGAGTTTGAGGTTGCTGTGAGCTATGATGACATCACTGTACTCTAGCCCAGGCAAGAGAGTGAGACCTGGTCCCCACTGCCCCACCCCACCAAAAAAATAAATCTCAGGGAAATCCAGTACCCCTTCCCTGTAAAGTTACAGTCCACTACCTTAGAAGAAGAAACTCAAAAAGGGAAGCCCACAAATGTGACGCTGACCAGTAGCCTCAGGATATGGTGGGGAAGAAAGTTGGAAAAAACAATACAGACGCTCAGCAGAATGTTCCCTGGATTCCCCACTAACTTCTTAAGTGGACCGGCAGGCATACCCACACCTGCCCCACTGGCGGCACAGTGGATCACATCACTGCTCCCTCCTTCTCAGCTCCATAGCTGGCACACTATGAGGAAGGCTTAACTTTGAAGCCCTTCTCCCAAGGGCTCCAAGGGCAAGGCCAGCGTCACCCTTCCTCCCCCCAGAGAGACTAAGGCCCAGCACAGGCTTGCCTGCTTCAGCCCACCAACACAGTCGAGAACCGCTCCCCGGGGGAGTTCTGCCAGGGGCACAGCCTTCGTGTCCTTAGCCCTCTTGTTTTGTTGTGTGCTGGCCTCATCACATTCTGGCCCGGGGGCCACTTCACCCTGAGAAGCAGGACCGGCTGGCCTCTTGGAACAGCTGTCCCTTCTCCCTCTCATTCTCCCTCTCATTCTCCCTTCCACCCTCACCCCTCAGTCTGCTCCCTGCCCAAATTCCTTTCTGCTCTTCCTGAGAAAGGGCATTCCAGTCCTATATGAACGTCTGCCTTTCTGCCTAATAAACGAGACAATAAACAACCAAAGCTTATCATAGGGCTGGGCAAAAATGCACTCATAGCTCCAGGCCACCCCAGTATGAAGTTAATAATTAAAGACACAAGTGCACAGCACCCTACAAAATGACCAAAGTGCCTATATCTGGCCTTCCACGAATCCTTCAAATCTGTTGATCCTCCTCAGCCAGTGACACATGCTTTCCTTACTGCCCACAGGACTGCAGCCTCCAGCCTTTCAACAGCCCTCTCGACCCTTACCCCCACCCGTAACCTCCGCCCTTATCCTCAGGCTCTGCTGCTGGCTCTAAACTACAGCACAACCCAGGTTTCCAATCAGAAACACCAGGCACAACTGATGCTGCCATGTTCTTGGGGGAATGGGATCCCCAATTACAAATTCCTGCAGGTTAGCCTGCAGGGCAACCATGGGTCACAACACCAAACTGGAAGAGGCTTAAAGGACTCATTCTAGTTCAGAGTCAGAGTCTGCAGGTGTGTGCCGCGAGGTTCTCTTCTCGGCCTCGACCGGGGATGTAGGCAGGGAAAAGTAGGGATAAACAACCAGTTCCTCACCCTTTCCTACAGCAAATTCTGAAATGGAAATACGTGGCTAGTTTATATTTTAATCCCCACTGCTTCTCTACTTCGGTATCCATTCATTTGTACCCCTCCTTTTACCCACCAGGATCCTGCCTCCCCCACGGCTGAGCCTTATTCCTCGGCCACTGACCCACCATCTTGCCCTGGTCTGCTATCTGTAATGAGCACTGGTGGCTCAGCTTGAATGAGGAAGGGAAGAGAAAACAGAGAGCGGGAAAGTGCCTAAAGAGAGCTGCCCTCACCTTCCCCTCAGCCCAGCTTCCTCCAGGGCCTCTTGGCCATGGGAGCAGGAAACGGTATGGCAGGCAGCAGTGCTGACTAGGCTCTGTGTCCCCACCCCCAGCGGATACAGCTGACCGGAGGCCCCAGAGCCCAGCCAAGTGCCTGCTCTTGAAATGGACCCTAACCTCCTGCTTCAGAGTCAGGGACAGGAGGGGATCATGGGGTTAAAATAATATGGAGGCAACAGCTAGTTAACCTCAAGGACAGAAGCACTCTAGCTACCCTTTTTTTTTTTACCTCTAGAGGCAATCCTTTTTTTTTTTTTTTTTTTTTTGGCAACAGTCTTACTCTGTTGCCCAGATACAGTGCAGTGTATCATCATGGCTCAAAACTGCTGGGCTCAACTGATCCTCCTGCCTCAGCCTCCTGAGTAGCTGGGACAACAGATGCATGCTACCATGCCCAGCTAATTTTTCTATCTTTTGTAGAGACAGGGTCTCACTCTAGCTCAAGCTGATCTCGAACTCCCGACCTCAAGCAATCCTCTATCTCGGCTCCCCCAAAGTGCTAGGATTACAGGCATGAGCCACTGCCTGAAATCACCTTTGACCTTTGACTCAGGTGCAACTCCATTCTTTTTTTTTTTTTTTGAGACAGAGTCTCGCTTTGTTGCCCAGGCTAGAGTGAGTGCCGTGGCATCAGCCTAGCTCACAGCAACCTCAAACTCCTGGGCTCAAGCAATCCTGCTGCCTCAGCCTCCCAAGTAGCTGGGACTACAGGCATGCGCCACCATGCCCGCTTTTTCTATATATATTTTTTAGTTGGCCAATTAATTTCTTTCTATTTATAGTAGAAACGAGGTCTCGCTCTTGCTCAGGCTGGTTTCAAACTCCTGACCTTGACCAATCCGCCCGCCTCCCAGAGTGCTAGGATTACAGGTGTGAGCCACCACGCCCCACCCAGGTGCAACTCCATTCCTGCTTTGACCCCAGAGGGAAGAAGAAGAATCTGTAAAGAAGTCACTCTTATAATCATCTAAAGAAATGATTCTGAATGGGTCATCAAACCCAGCCTACACAGGTGTCACTTGGAGTAGGAAGCTAGTTCTGGCACTAAGGCCCCACATCAGCTCTGGAACTAAAAACCAGAAAGCACTGGACCAGGTTGATCCAGAACAGAACAAAGCTTGCAGGCCCACTCTGGATCAGATGTCCCAGTTTAGTTAGATGCCTAAACCAAACGGTTCTTGAAAAAGAACATTAAACCACAGTCCTCCAAGCACCCTTACCTTTAAATACATACAATGAAAAACACAAAGCTTAGGCTGCTATTTAATCCATTTTCTGCTTCAAACTCCCAGGGACAATAAAACATCAATACTTTATTAGGCAACTCATTCCATTTTTAAAGAGATCGATAGCTCTCCCTTCCTTAAGCCAAAATCTTCTCCCCCACAACTTCTACCCAGAAGTTCTAGATCTCTCCTCTAGCCCACAAAGAATCAAGCTAAACCCTCTTCTACACAATGGCCTTTCTTAGCATTAAAGATGAATAACCTAAAAAAGAAAAAAGATGAATAACCTGTCTCCCTTGAGTCTCTCCTTTTAAGCGAAAAACCCAGCTTCTTCAACCCCTTGTGGGGCAAATATGGTTTCCAGACCACTGACCGTCCCTGGTCTCCCCTCTGCATTTACTCCACTTTGTCAGTGTCTCCCTGGAAACACAAGACCC